GTGTGACACTGAGTGGCCGATCCAGTGTGACACTGAGAGGCTCGCCACAGGCTGTCGAATGTCGAAAATTTTTGACAGGTGTCAGAAAATTTTCAACAGTCGGGCGGTCAACAATTTCGCCCCCCTTCGCCACATAGCCTGTCGAGGGGCGAGGTTGTCGAAAGTTGCCAAGTCGACTCAGCCTTTCGACAGGTGCTGTGTGGCCAAGGCGGTCGCCTGTCGGGAGTTGTTACATGGATGAATTTGTGCGCGCAAGCGGACCAGATGTCGACGCCGTTTTTGACAGCCACTGTTGACTACATACGGACAAACAGGCCACGGCTGTCAGGGAGCAGTCCCTGACAATGGAAAATCGGAGGCGTTTTTCGAAAGGTGGGCGGGCCACTGTCGAATTTTCGTCACCTGCAGGCTGGAGGAAACGGTTGCTGGAGGGCGTCCTGACACCTGTGGAAAGTTTTTTGAGCGGCAATTCTTCGAAAGTCTGTGTCGTGAAGCAAAATTGTCGAAGACCCGGTTTTGGACAGCCTGTGTGGCGAGCCTCTGAGTGGCAGCGGCCTGACAGGTTCATTACAAATTTCTGGGCTGAGGAAACTGGAGAAAGGCAGAACAAAAAAAAAAGCACAGGGACATCCCACCGGAAATCACGGCAGAGTGGTTCCCAGCCATCAGATCACAAATGATCTGATGGCCGTGGTTGCCACAACAGTGAACAAAGTAACTGCCACATTTTTCTGCAATAAACCAGACTTGTGTCAGCAGTCATCATGATGCCCTCCATATACTCCGTGATTGAAGGAGGGCTCCACCCAATGAGATAATTGCACAACAGCAAGCAAAATACTGCAAATCTTCTATCCAGTGGGCCTATGGCCGATCCCACCCTCTTTCACCATACCCCCAACCGATTGAAAAGATTTTGGTGAAGCTTTCTTTGCAGGGGCATGCCCAGTGCTGCACGGCAGAATTTGGGTCATTCATATGCCACACAAACTCGTTTCTATCATCCTATCCGGCTGCTAGTGGGACCATGCTCCAGCATGGCGCTCTTTTGTTTTTTCCCTTTTTGTTTTTTGGAACAACTGGCAGCCTTTTGGTATGGTCCGGGGCCAAGTCCCACTAGCAGCGTTGAGCTACCTCAACGCCTGAATGTGGACGCTTTTGCGGAGATGTGCAGAAATGGTGTTGAGTTTCCTGAACTGCACCGTCTGGTCCCCCCGAGTGGCATTGAGGAGAGACTGCTGATGTTCATAGGGGGAGGGGACCGGAGGGGGGGCACAGTGACTGGCCCATCGAAGAAGCTCGGTCCTGATGCTACCGGCTGACCCCTGGCCGGTATCGCCCACCTGCTGTAGCAGGTATCGCACCTGCTGCTGGGTGCAGCTCCCGCATGTTCCCTCGTTGGAGGCTTGAGCACGGATTTGGCTGCTACGGGGTTCCCCGTAATACTATAATGACAATAAAAATAGGCCTGAAAGGCTGTCCTGTCCAGATTTGACAGGTAATTGAATTGGTTGGGCTTAAAAGAATTAGCCTTCTTATTAAAAAAAAAAAAAAAAAAAAAAAAAAAAACACGTCCATATTCAGGCGTTGAGGTAGCTCAACGCTGCTAGTGGGACTTGGCCCCCGGGCACTCCACTTTGGGCCCGGTTCAGACCATGGCACCCGCGGGCTTTCCACGCGCCCATATACTTTGGGCCTCGCCACAAGACGCGCGGAATGTGCGAAATGGAGCATGCATCTTCCGGAAAAACATCAAATGATACACTCTTTAGGGTCAGATCCCAGTACCCTGGATTATTCATTTTTCACCCTCGATTACGAAGATCGACGGTCAGAAATGAACAATAGGGGCTAGTGGGATCTGGCCCTTAGCGATCTTGCCTTTCAGCGCGGGGGGCGCGGGCCTTGTCGCGCGCGAGAAAGTGGAAGGGGAAAAAAAAAAAAAAAAAAAAAAAGAAAAGAAAAAAAGAAAGTGGAAGTGGGGTTCATTCGTCGAGCCTGTCCGCGGCGTTCTTCCGTTTTGGCGCGGTGTCTACTTCCTCCCCTCCCTCCGTTTTTTTTCCTTTTTTTTATTTTTATTTTCTCGTATTCATATTCCTCGCCCTTGCGCTGATTTAAAAAAAAACAAGGGGACGCAATTTCGGCCGTCGATCTTCTCCATCGACGGTCAATATCTCTTAACGCGTGGGACCTACAGTGTAGGCCCTGGAAAACAAAAGAGCCTTCAAGGCCTGCAAAGCCGCACAAACCAGACCCTTGCGCGGTTTTTTTTTCTTCTTTTCCAAAACATAAAACTTTTAGGGCCTCTCCACAGAAACGGAAAAAAAAATTAAAAAAAAATGCATCTTCCCCAGAAAGTGGTAGGATGCGTCCGTTGCTATTCTTAGTGACGGATGCATCTTGCCACGCTCTGCGTGAAGATGCACTCGAACGTTTTTCGTTTCGACAGTGGTGTGGCGATGCCATTATTATTAATATAATACCAAGAGGAGGGCCGGAGGAAAACAAATCTGGGACCATTACCCAGATTCGACCGCTGTCCTGACACAACCTGCTGGCCATCAAAGCCCAACAAACCAAAACCTTTGCGCGTGCCAAAAAAAAAAAAAAAAAAAAAACCTTTGGGCTTTTGCTCATCCCGCCGTGTGTGGAGAAAGAAAAGGAAGAAAAAAAAGAAAAAGAAAAAAAAAGAATCGGGCTGGAAGTGGAGATTCCGCTGGCGAATTAAAATAACAACAAAAGACACCGAGAGACCGATCGATTGGTGTGCTCGAGGACGAGGTGGAGGAGAAGAAAACGAGGAAGAGGAGGAGGAGGAGGAGGAAGGAAGTGAAAGGGAATAAATTGTTTCCGTCGTTCAATTTCGGGAGAGAGAGAGAGAGAGAGAGAGAGAGAGAGAGAGAGAGAGAGAGAGAGAGAGGTGGATCGGCTCTGAAAGATTAGAAGGCATCGACGCCAAGTGTTCTTAGCGGAAGGAAAATATTGGTACGTGTGTTTGCTTGCGGGGCACACAGGTGGATCGACTCGAACCTTGAAGGGCGTCGGTGCTCAGCGGGTAAGCAATGCTACCATCCAATTGGAAAGCTTGTCTGCGTGTTCGCGAGGGGCGCTCTCTCTGCGCTGCCTTCTCTCCTCCTCCTCCTGTTTCTCCTCCTCCTCCTCCTCCTCCCAGGACCGTGCAAATCCGTGTCCTACCCCTTCATGTCTTCCCCAAATCCGTGATCCACCCCTTCATTTCTCCACCGTGCGAGCGCGCCCCCGCGAATAGAACTCTGTTCGGCCATTGTCGATGTAATTAGGCTAGATATTGTGCCAAATGCAGCAGCAGCTGTAATGACGGCGCGCTCAATTTATGGAGAACAGGCGTTGCCGGTTGCAAAGATCTCTCTGTAGCCTTTGCGTCGCCTGAGAGCGTCTCTGTCTCGCTTCTCTCTCTCTCTCTCTGTCTCTCTCTCTCTCTCTCTCTCTCTCTCTCTCTCTCTCTCTCTCTCTCTCTCTCTCTCTCTGTGTCTCGCTTTCTCTATTCTCTCTTCCATTCTCTCTCTCTCCTTTCTTTATGCTTTCTCCCTCCCTCTCTCACTCTCTCTTTCGTGCTTGTGTGCTTTATCTGGCTTTCTCTCTATCTCTCTTTCCCTTTTTTCTCTATCCTTTCTGTCGCTGTCTCTTTCTCTCTTCTCTCTCCCTCTCTATTTTTTCGCTCTCCTGTTTCTCGCTGTCTCTTTCTCCCTTTCTTTCTCCCTCTCATGTTAAGTATTTGCAAGTTTATTCCTTTTACTTCTCCTCCCCACTGGCTTCTCTCTATCTGATGTTATCTCATGTTTTCTCTCTTTCTCTCCTTTCTCTCCCTATCTTGTCTCTCCCAATCTACCTTTTTCCCTTTTGCTCTCTCTCTCTCTCTCTCTCGCGTGCGCACTCGCGGGCGTCATTTGCGAGTTCTACCTCTAATTTCAGTTCTCCTCTCTCCTTTCCCCACGCGTGCAACATTCAGCTTCTCCCGGGGCCAAGTCCCACTAGCAGCGTTGAGCTACCTCAACGCCTGAATCTGGACGTGTTTGTGGAGACGTGCAGTTCAGGAAACTCGACACCATTTCTGCACATCTCCGCAAAAGCGTCCAGATTCAGGCGTTGAGGTAACTGAACGCTGCTAATGGGACTTGGCCCCCAAGAGGAGAGTAGGGTAAGTGTTCGTCTATGTTGTGGGCCGCCCTCGTGATCTTCATGAACTCCTCTATGGCTTTTGTTAATTCGCCGTATTTCCATACCGCTTTTTTTTCCGCTCTTTTTCATTTTTCTCGGCTCTTTTGCCTTTTTTCCGGTCTTTTTTCCTTTTTCCGCTCTTTTTCTTTTTTTCCGGTCTTTTTTCCTTTTTTTCCGGTCTTTTTTCCTTTTTCCGCTCTTTTTTCCTTTTTCCGCTCTTTTTTCATTTTCGGGAACATGATCGGCAGATTCGGTACTTGTTTTTGTCGATGAAACGTTTTTTAAGTTTTGATGACAACGTTGTTGACCTCCGATTCATATGGCTGAATGCGGGCCGAAAACGCTGTAATTGTTCTAGGGAATGAATGTGGACGTGAGGCGCTAAGAAATTCGTTCATGACCGAGTTTTCTCTCGGTGCCAGCGAAGGACCAGCAACTGTCCGAAGTGGAAGTCGGATATTCTAAAATTTCTAGTGTCAATTGTTTTTTTTTTTTTTTTTTTTTTTTGAAAAGCATTGTTGGACAATCCACCGCATGTTCAGCGTCACGGAGTTTTTGTTTTATTTTTTTTCTCCCAGGTGGCGGTGTTTTCGCTATGTAACCGAACAAAACTGTTCATCTTTCGTTGGAAAAACGTTTTTGTTTTTTTCTTCTGTTGGTTGGGAAACCTTGTTGCACCTCCCCAGGAAACTCAAAACCAAATTTTGACGGTGGCAGAGTTTTCGCCATGGAACCAGTAAAATCGTTATCTTTCGTCGCAAAACCAACCTTGAAAGTTTTTGCCATTGAAGTAAAATCGCTATCAAATTTCTTTAGTTCTCTTTACTGTCCTGGTTTTCCTTTGGTTGGGGTCCTTGGGGACTATCGGCGGAAAAGCCACCACATTTGAGGGTTGGCGGGAGTTATCGCTTTTTGGAATCAAATTGAAAAGAAGACCATTTCCTTCGCTCGAAAACCTACCTGTCCTTATGAGGCTTCTTTGCCTTCCTTGCCGGCACGTCGACTCTATCTGCTCGGGGCTGAGGAGCTTAGCTTTTTCCTTTTCAGTTTAAACCACCAGTACTTGGCCCAGCTATCGGCCGCCGGAAGTCCTGTAGTGGCCCGTACGTTTCCTAAAATCGTGGCGCGTTGGATGAATTTGGGCGCTCCTGTAGTGGCCCGTACGTTTCCTAAAATCGTGGCGCGTTGACGGGCACGACTTCAGGAAGGCATGGTGGTTTAATTCTATTCTTCGTGACCTGTTTTACCGTGTTTTTTTTTTGGTTAGTGGATGCGCGTGGGCCACGATCCGTTTGTATATACTGATGGGAATATATATATATCTATATACATGTATTCGTATAGAAACCCTAGAGAACAATATGTATATTACATGTGTGCATATTGATGAGAACGATTTGCGATTATCCATTTATATACGTCGATGGGAATATGTATACACATATACGGTGAAACTCCGACGAAACAGTTTGTCGCAGCCCCTCGTTTGTTGTCCTCTTCTCCCTCCCTCTCTGCCTACGGTTTACCTGGCAGCTCTGTTTGACGAGGTAGATTATCATTTACAGTGTAATCAGTGAGGGGAATCTGCAGACTGTTGAGGGTTCAGCCTCCTGATGAGTCGGTGAAACTCCGAGGAAACAGTTTGTGACAGCCCCTCGTTTGTTGTCCTCTTCTCTCTCTCTGCCTACGGTTTACCAGGCAGTTCTGTTTGTGACGATATATATATATAAAATATAAGTCGGTGAAACTCCGACGAAACAGTTTGTCACAGCCCCTCGTTTCTTGTCCTCTTCTCCCTCCCTCTCTGCCTACGGTTTACCGGGCAGCTCTATACAGCCCTTCCTTTGTTGCCCTCTTCTCCCTCTCTGCCTACCGTTTATCGGGCAGCTCTGATTGACGATATATATATATATATATATATCGTCAAATAGAACTCAGTTACGGGATTCTGCAGACTGTTGAAGGTTCAGCCTCCTGATGAGTCGGTAGGTGAAACTCCGACGAAACAGTTTGTCACAGCGCCTCGTTTGTTGTCCTCTTCTCCCTCTCTGCCTACGGTTTACCGGGCAGTTCTGTTTGACGATATATAGACACGAGTAGAAATTGTAGTGAATAATATGTATATTACATGTATACATATTGGCACGAGCGATTGGCGAAAGGTAGGGCACGCGAAATGCAAAGAGAACGAGTGCATTTGCACACAGAAGGTGGCGAGATACATCCGGAACTATTCATAGCAACGGATGAATCTTTCCAGTTTCTGTTGGGACGATGCACTCGTTTGATTGTTGGTTTCTGTTGGGACGATGCACTCGTTTGATTGTTGGACCCGAGCCAGAACATGCGGGGGCTGCTGCCGACCTGCAGGTGGGCGATAGTGTAGTTTTGGATTCGTGCCACAGCCAGGACATGAACAAAACAAAAAGGCCAGCTCTTATCTACTGCCGTTAGATTAGTGGACCCGCCCAAAAGATCGGATCAGTGGACCGCCCAGATAGATACGCTTTGCCAATCCCACAGGGAGGGAGAAAAGGTAACCCCCCCCCCCCCAAAAAAAAAAAAAAGGTAAAGAGAAACGTGACAGTTGTACGAACGGACCAACCACAAATTTCTGGATAGACGCTATCAGCAAAGAGAAGAGAATAAGGTGGTCCTCCTTTCTAGCGTACTGATTCCTACAGTCTYCCCCCGAATACGACGGACGGTGATTATAGCTGAATTTGGTGTATCTTTTAGTCTAAATTCAGCTATAATGACCGTACGTCGTATTTGGGGAACAGCAAAGAGAAGAGAATAAGGTGGTCCTCCTTTCTAGCGTACTGATTCCTATAGTCTGCCCCCGAATACAACGTACGGTCATTATAGCTGAATTTGGTGTATCTTTCAGTCTAAATTCGGCTATAATGACCGTACGTTGTATCTGGGGGAAGACTGTAGGCGAGGGGGAGGGAGAAAAGGTAAAGAGAGACATGACAGTTGTATCTGTATCTGACGGGGAACAGAGCCACCATTATTTTTTTCAGCGTACCGCTTTCTAGCGTACTGCTCTGGACACGCGCAAAAGACGAAAAATATGGTGGTGTATCTTTCCGTGTTCTAGCGGTGAGTAGTGGAGCGAGGCCCACTATCAACAACAACAAGAAAAGTAGGTTGTTCTCCTTCCTTAGACTAGCGTTCTGCTTCCTAGGCTAGAAATGAGGACCCACTTTTCTAGCCCTCATTTCTGGCCTACTCCTTTCTAGCGTTGTGCTTCCTAGGCTAGAAAGTAGGTTGTTCTCCTTTCTGGATTTCTGGGCGTTTGGGAAGGAAAAGGATGGTGTGGACATAGCTAGTGTTAAGTGACTTTTTTGTTTCTCTTCTTCTTTTTGTTTTTATTGTCTATAGCAGGTTGTTTACATCTGAATCCCCCATGCCTCGGGGTAGCATCTATTAGATCCAATGGCAGTTATGTGTCCCTCATGTATGTACTACGTACACTGTACTACCGTCTTCCCCCCAACATTAGAACGCCTGCCAGGCCCATGCCGTACTTCGCGAGGTTTTGTACATGGCTCCTTGCCATCCGATCTGAAAATCTCACGGTCCTACAGTAGTGTGACCACGTTGGAAAATACACGAAACATAAACTAACCCCCCCCCCCCCCCCCCCCTGTCCAGCTGAACCTAGGTGCTCAGCTATAGGTGGCTGCGGGTCCACCTAGGGTCTTCTTCTTTCAAAATCCCCCCCCCCCCCCCCCCCAGTGGGTCACGGCCCCTGGTCATTATATCTGTACTTGCGCCAACTTTCAGTCTAGATCCAGCCATATTTACTGGCCGTTCTATTAGGCTGAAGCTGCTGAAGACGTTAGTATAATA